GTCTTAGCCTTCACTATGCTTTTATGTTCACAAACCCAAAATTTAAAGAAAAGTAAATATAAAAAGGGTTCGTATATAAAAAGCACCCTGTGTAAACGTCTCTGACAACTCTAACGCAAAGTTTTTACTATCATTAAACTAGCCAAATTTGTGAAAACAAATTTGTTTTCACAATGTTCACTCTCACATTGCCACAGTGACTAAAACCATCAATAAAACACCAGTTGGTTTGCTTCTACTTTAGAGATGAGCACTATACAGGTAAACAAATCGTTCTCCAAAATTGTTTAACATATTCAATGTAGCTTTTTGGCTATAAAATTATATAAGGACAATTTGTGAATGTAAGCAAGATTGAATTTTATCTTAAATCTACTACTGATAAATTAGACAACCAGACTGATACAATTTTTCATAATACCTATTTGCCAAGAAATGTTAATTTTGTGGGCTAGGATATCACAGACCACTAAGGTAACAGGGAATATGCAAAGAGCAAATAGTCTTTCCTTACTTTTCCATGATCATTCAGTATTTCAAGTTACAGTTATTTCAAAATCTACCTGACACTATAATAGGCTTTCCATGTATGTAATTTTAAAAATAATATCCATGCTAGGGCTGGAGAGGTGGCTCTGTAGAAGAAGCACTTCCCTGGCAAGTGCAAGGCCTGAGTTCAATCCCCGGTTCCAAAAAAAAAAAAAAAAGTTCTATGCTTAATATAATGCTGAGAAGTACAACTTCTATCAGAAATTGAGTTAACATCCTAAAAAAAACTCTTCACAAAAATTTGGCAATAACTTTGTCAATTTTTTCCACTGCTATATATAGCTTTCTAACAACAAAATTATAAACGTTCCTTATACAATGAGACATATCTTTTCTAAAGTCTTTAAAAAATAAATAAAATTAAAAAATTAAAAGTCTTTGTTCAATAGTTACCAATAAATTTTTGTTCTTTAGGACATAAATTTTATCCAAAAGAGAAAATTTTGTGTACTTACTAAAGTGTTTACCAATGACAAAATTGGTCTTTTGTTCAAAAAAAAAAAAAAAAAAAAGCAGTTCCTTATATACTTACCTAGAAAAAACTTTTTTTGAGACAAGGTCTTACTTTATTGTCCAGGATGACTTGAAACTTGCCATCCTCCTTCCTCAGTCTCCAAAGTAGCTGAGATTACAGGCTTGTGTCATCCCACCTATCTTGGAAAATATTTTTATAACTACCAAAAATGACAGATGTCCTTTTATCTTTTTGAGTGTGTATATATATTTGCAAAAGTTCTAGTCTTCATGATTTGACTCATGAAAGTCTAAATTGAGATTTCATTTCTAGTTAATAGTGAAATATATATTCATCCTAAATATATTCCCAAAAATTTTAGTTGAGATCAAATGGAATAAAAATTCCACAACACTCAGTAGTTATAGGGATTAAGAAAAATCTTCCACTTTTTATATTAGCTAACACTTTAGTTACAAATTTCTAAGGCTGAAGAACAAGATAAAACACAGGAGTAAGAAATGCTAAATTAGGGGCTGGCGAGATGGCTCAGTGGTCTAAAGCACCTACTTGGAACAAGCTTGGCAAAGCACAGGGACCGC